CTGCAATGCAAAGAATATGTTTTTTTGTGTGTTAAATTACCCCTCTGGGTTACCTGAGGTCTTCTTCAAGGATCACTCTCAGAAAAAAAGGTACAAAAGCTGTCACTGGGGCGGTACCTTTTCAAAAGGTACACTTTTGTACCTAAATGGTGCATATTGGTACCTTCATTAAGGTTGTTAAAATGTTGCCACACTAAGCATGTTAAAATGCACTAAACACTGTATTTTAAAATCGTATTAATCAAATAAATTAGTGAAGAATTACTCACCCTCTGCTTTAAAGCAGATATCTGTTGCATCACAGAGACAACAGGGCAGAAAGATAATGTTGCTGAGTAAATATTATCATTACAAAGAAGATTGCGTAGATACAAAGTATAGTTGAACCAGCTGAAAAGTGCCACAAAACACTCTAAAACCAGCCAGAGCATCAACTAGGACCAACAAAGACCACCAGCCGGCATAGGCAAGGCATACTGGCTCAAACATCCTGGGCATTATTTCATATAGTACTGCCATCGATCTAGCCGTTTATGAGCTACATGCGCAAAAACACTTACACAGGAAGCCAGCCGTATATTTTATGGCATCATACCTAATAAATATCACGCAATGGAATTGGCTTGGCATTTTATCTTTAAATTGATCCATTTGACTGTTCACATTTCTGCTGGCTGCCTTATTGATTTGCTGTTAAGTAATACGCCTCTGTAATGCTCTGTCACTAAATCATAAAGGAATATATGAGACTGTGTCTCAGGCATTAACAGTTACGACCACTTGAAGAGAAGCTCTCCACGCGGATGATTGATTTATAGGTAGCAGTCTATCATTGTCATGATGAACCTCAACCATCACAAATATCACATTAAAAACTACTTAAGTGTCATCAAATGCTCTCAGTGGGTTTGCAAATAATGCAATGAGCCTAAATCGCTCTCTGGCTTTAATTATTGTTAATATGGTGCTTGCCTACTGCATATTGTGCTGTAAATATTGGATTCTCCCTACTTTAAAAAACAAACAAACTGTCAGGTTATCACAATGATGATAAATAATATTCAATCCACAATGGGAAAACTCAGATCGCAGGAGAAAAAGTACACAACCCTGTTAAACTCAGACGACAACGGGACAGTGGAACTGAAAGACCCGAGTGTCTTAAATACTAACAATTAAAGTGAACAGGAGCAGGCGTGTGGAACTAATTAAGTAGAAACTAACTGCAAGCAAAACAGGAACAAGAGATTGCTATAGTATTACACATATGGCAGAAAATTTAGTATGTGAATGTACTACGTTGTGTCAGTAAGATTTATTTAATGTTTTTGAAAAGAAGTCTTTATGCTCACCAAGGCTGCATTTATTTGATCAAAAATACAGTAAAACAGTAATATTCTGGAACAGTATTTCAATTATACAAATAACTGTTTTTGATTTAAATATATATATATTAAAATATTGTTATTCAAAGCTGCTCAAGAAACATTTCTTAACAATGTTGAAAAATACCTAAATATTTTTGTAGAGACTGTATTTTACCTTAAATGATTTTCAGTAGACTTTCAACATAAAAAAAAAACAATATTTATGAAATTACATACTTAATTGGGTAAAAAAAACACTCAAGTGCATTTAATATATTTTAAAATATATTTTTAGCATAACTGAATTATGTTTATGTAAAAATTACATTCAGTTCACGGTTAAGCATATTCTTATATATTATTTCCATAATAAATAACCCTTTTAAAGGAAGCCTATGCTTATTTTTTTATTTAAAAAAAAAAAAGAAACCTATACTACATAGGTCTGCATATGTGATAATGTTGATTGATTTGCTGTCTAAATGAAGAAGGCTTCTTTCCACTGTACTGGGGCATCTTCATGAAAGTTCTTGCTGTTAGCTATAGTATACAAATACACAAAGAGATGCTTAAGAATTTCAAAATAAGGGTCTGACTGCTTCTGTGTCCTTTTATCCTGAAGAAAGAAATAAAGAAATGAACACAATACAACTACATTATCACTCCAAACTTCCTGCAAGCACCTGAGTAATAAGCTTTAGTGCAGAACTGCATATTTATACCTATTTCTTTCATACAAACAAGTTATTCAAGTGTGTGTTTTCAGATGTTTTTGAAGATTGAAATGCTGTTCACATGAAGGTCAGGAGTTCGTACCACTAGCATAGACCAGTGAGTGGGAACTTCATTGATTCAATGTTTAAGGGGCAATGCACTTTCAGTGCTTTTAGTCACCTTTTGTACATTTTCTCAGGTGTTTAGTGTTATTTTCGACTGCAGTATAAATGCAAAATTATCTTCATAATGATTGGTTAAACTCTCTGAGTGCACGTGAAACAACTAATCCCCAAAAGACCACTTCTTATGTCGACATGCTCACGTTCAGTTTGTTTGGTTTCCAATATTCTTCAAAATATCTTCCTTTGTGTTAAACAGAAGAAATTAATACAGGTTTGAAACAACTTGAGGGTGACAATTTTCGTTTCATTTCAAGGTGAACTATCCCTTTAAGTGATTCTTCATTACTTCCTATTTATTCTTACCGTGTTTTAGGCATGTCAAGTCCTTCTTGTTGTTCTATAAACGGTGTCAGCGCTGGAACTGCATCTCACAGGCCCCCTCATCTCAGCATGTTCATTGTGTAGCCTGTGAGTGTTCAGGTTGTCTGAACAAGCCTCGAGCACCGTGTTTCTAGGCAAACCTTGAATGCCAGTCGGAGGGTTGCCATGGCAACAGAGTCGGGGCAACTGCACTTTGGAATGCCTGGAGACCCTCTCCAGCTGTGGCTAATGTCTTATCTGGTAACCAATGCCACGTTCAGCTGAGCAATGAAGTCCAACTCTGTCGTGTCCGCTTTCCCTGACAGCAAAGATATCAATTAGCAAGCAAAGGGACACTTTACTTGGAGAAAAATAACCTATGTCTCCTGCAGATCTGTGAATGAATACCTGTACTCAGATTTGCCTTGACACCAAAGTCTCTGATGAAAAAAAAAGTCTGATATCTAATGGGCTATATGCACGCATAAGTTCCGCATTTGACGCAAGGATGCTCGTCCATTTCCGGTTATGGAGATTTAAGCGGAGGAAAACCGAGGAAAACGGGATTATGGCAGAGTCTTCAAAATTTACTGTCCTCCAGTCTTTGAAACGAAACGTACATACGTTTAGATGTAATTTTATAAATAGTTATGTTTATTTAATATAATTTTAAAAAGAAGCATAAACACAACGAGGGATGTCTTTATCTGTTTTTGTGACTAACGTTTCCTTATTATAACCATGGAGTATAAAATTCAATATAAATTCTCGGTATTGCATTGGACTCTACGATCGGCGGAAGTTATCGAGCATCCTTAATCCTTCACCGGAAATACCGCCGTGCCATTTGGGGGCTCGTCCGGGATCTGCACAACAAGAAAACAGATGCACATATCAAATAAAATACATGTCACACAATATTAAGAGTAAACAGGCAAATATTCTAATAAAGATCTTTATTCAGTTTTAAATAGGCCAACAAATCGTAAAAATACATAAAGGTCAATAAAATGACAAATCAGCTCCTCGTGTGCATCTCAGCCTCTTGGGATATGGATGTAAATTGTCCTCGAAACAATATCGAGGAAAAAAAAAACGGATGACTTGCAGGTGTGAAAAAACACTTTGTTGTTGGTAGGATTTTCCTTTTTCCAGATAGGTTGATCCTGAGAGTCACTCGGATGAGCTCAAATTTAAATGCGAGATGGACGCCAGCACTCACCAGCCTCCAGGCAGTGTCAAGGAAGTTTTCAATCTCGACATCACAACACAGGACGTGGTGTTTCACAGAGCAATAATGCAAAAAAAGGTACAAAAAAAATCATCCATTAGTCCAAAAGTCACCCTACATCCCAAATAAAACCACGCCAAAAAAAACAAATAGATTAAATAAGATTCACTTAAGAGGACAACACAGGAATATCAGCATTTAAAACTCAGCTCAACGGAAAAGACAACATCGACTTGCCAACCTACCCGAATACATTGATTTTCTGATAAGCTTCTATATCTTGGAATGAAGAAATACATAATTGCAATAATTTAAAGTGACACTATAAGATAAATAATGTGTGGAGTTTAAACACATTTTTTTGCAATGTTTTGATTTGATTACATTGCAAAACAGTTTTATTATGCATTATTCATTAATTTCGCTTAGGGCTTTTCAATGTAATTTCTACTCAAATGGAGGGGGAATAAAAACAGACACTCAAACCTTGACCCCGAGCATTTTATTGCTCGGATGTGCTTGAGCGTGGGTGATCAAAGTGAAGAAATTCACAACAACTGTGACGTAATAAGCGTTACTCAGCACAAAGCCTCATTCCAATAATCACTCACTCAAACCAGTCGAGCACTTTAATAAAAAAAAAAAAAAACTTTTTTGAAGAAACTTTCACAGAGCTGTCTGAAAGCGCAAAGCAAATAAATAATAAAAGGAGTAAAGCCTGAAGGCCAACACAACTGACCCTTTCGCAGGAAGCGTATTATTATATCCGACCAATCATAATCCGCCAAATCTGCCATTTATGTCCGACAAAGCAGTCAGGAGAGTTAACGTAGGGGGATTTGAACTTGAAAAACGGTGTGTACTGACGTCTTTCCGCGGTTAAAACAACATTCCTTATGTTCATTCATGTTTATTTGATGCTATAAATGAACTAGAAGGAAGAGATGATCGGTTCACGAGCAGCTTTAATTGAGGCTCTAGCGATCTGTCGGACACATTAAAGAGCCACAAAACGGTATACATTGTTTAAATTTTGTTCAAAAATGACCAAATTGGAAAGACTTTCACTGTTAAAGAAATTGGTGGGACGTGAGAACGGCGTGGCTTGTCGGACATAGCAACAGTAACTAAAGGGGGCGGGTCTTTGCGAACGGTCAATTATTACACGGAGGAAAAACAACATAATGCTTTTTTTTTTTTTTAAACGTAATTTTAGTCAAAGACTTTAGTTAAACAAAAATGGCCATCTGAGTGAGAGCGCATGCCTTGACGCTTCAACATTTGGGCTGATGCTGATGAAGACGAGGATGAAGGTGGGAATGGGAATGTCGTCATGATTCCTCGTTTCCTGAGTCGTCCTCGTCATAGCAACAGTCCTCGTCATCCTCATCCTCGTCCTCCAAGTCCTCGTCATCATAGTAATCGTCGTATAACAGGTCGGACCCCTCGTCCAGCGCGGGGGCGCGCGTGCGCACACAGTATTCTGCCAGGGTGGTGGGAACTTTCACTCCGTCCCGTTCTGCCTCCGCTTTAGTGGCCAGAACTTGCTTTCTGTAACAGACACAAACACCTCGTAAATGGATCTGAAGGAATATTCAACTTTTAAACCTTCACGCTAGACTTCAATTGTGGGCACATTACCATAAACATTTATTCCTTTGTGTTTTACATTTGTTGTTATCTACAGACATTGCTTTGCAAAGCTCAAAATGTCCCTTTTAGCTTCATTTCTATATTAACTATATAGCCACTCTTTCTACGTTCAGAGTCAGACTCATATGTCTTAGGCATTGCAACATGTTGACATTTTATGTCATTTAAGCTCTCCGTTTGAGTTTTTCCCCCGAGGTTTTAAGAAGCCAAGGCAGAGAAATAAACAACTTATGTCCTGAAGGATGAAATCTGACGCAAGTCAAATGTTCTAACTCAGATGGCTGAAAACATGAATTGGAACATGCAATAGAGAGATTGCCAAGAGGAGCTCATGTTTCAGTGGCTTATTCAACCACAGGAGGGCACCGCTGATCCAGAAAATAAATCAAAATCTGTTTAGAAGGGTTTTCCATTAGCTAAAGTGTTATCACCACATCTTATGACAGAGCCATTCAAATGTAACAAGCATTAAACAAATAAACATTTAACACAGCTGATCTCTTAAAGGGTCCATATTCAATAATTTGTTGTTACCTAATGATTTCTGCATATTCACGGTCTTTTCCTTTACTGTCTCTCCATTTGCGGTACATGACAGAGGCGTCCACGTTGGCTGGAGAAAACGTGTTGGGCTCGTTCAGTAGAGAGATGACACTCAACAGTATTGTTCTGAAACACACACACATACACTCAATGTTATAATGACATTAACCTTTAAGTTCGTCTGTCCTAGAGCTTCTTTGTCCTGCATTCTCCTAAAGATGTGAAGAGATTTTACCCAAGAGGATCAGTCTTCATGTATTGCGTACAGCTACTCCGGTGACCTCACATTTGCAATATGGATCACCAAGTTGGTAATGAAACAACAGTATTTACTGGGAAAGTGCTGTTCGTATGTAGCTTGGGAAAACTCAGGCAACTTCCTTTGCTCTGAAAGTAAATCTGGCAAAGAGCTCATTCAAGCCCATTTCCAATCCGTCAAAATCGAGGCACCAATCAGAAATGTTGGGGCGGGCTTTACACGATGATGACAGCGCTGGGATTTCAAAGCAGATTTTGTAGCATACATTACAAAGATGGATGCCGGCGTCAAACATCACTCATTCAAATCAGCTATCACGTCTGTTTTTAGTGATTTGAACGTTTCCTTTTTGTTAAAAACTGAACAAAGAACAACACTGAGATGTTTCTCCGCCGCTCTGCATACGTCATCTCCTTCATCGCTCTGGTTTTAGGTCTATCCCCGACGTGTACAAAAACAATGATTTGTCTATGACGCTTTGCCAGACCATAACTCAGTTACAACTGAGAATGGTCTGGTTTTAACCAGGCTAGTTTGTATAATCACTCATTGTCAAATGAGCAAAGTTTTTAAAGTTAGCAATTAGATGCAGGCCAAAATTTAAATTGTAAAAAAATATATATAATAGCATTACTAAATAGAATTATGATAAAATAATAATGATTCAAATATTCATGTGGTGTAATTAATTTAATATGTCAAAAAGAAATAAAACAATTAGTTCTACATATTAGTTGTAAGTAGGACTGGGCAATACAAAAATGTATATATTGATATTTTCCTACATTTTCTTTACATAGTGACCTTAAACATTATTATTCTATACATTAAATAAAATAAGTAGCAGGAGTACAAGTAAAAGACTTCAAGATTTAATAAATATATCTATACTGACAAACAGTATCAGATCATTTTTCAAATTTGATCTATACTCAAACAAAATAAGTCACTAAAAACAACAAGCTACATCAGAGCGCGGAAAACTGTAGGTTTTGACAACTACGCCACATGTGGGGTCAAAATATGCCCATCTCTCTGTGTAGAGTGACGGGTGTTCTACAACAACACAAATGATTAACATGAGCTTCCAGGAAGACACTAGCTTTTCCACTGAAGCACAAAGCCCAGTGAAACAAGACTCCAGACTAACTAGAATAGAGAACAGACTCGGGGGAGGAAACGCACAAATACACAGATCTCCACTGAGATGCTTTCCTTAAGGCAAGCAACATGAAACTCATGAACACAAAAACAGCCTGGTCACACTTCCAATAATTCTGTTAGTTGGGAAAATACATGATCACTCTCTGAGACTAGAGCCTGACCGATAAAGGATTTTGAAGGCCGATACCGATACAAATATTTTTGGGTTTTAAAATCCGATATAAATATCGGCCGATATATATATATATATTTTTTTTTTCAGAAACACGCAACAAAACATTAACAGCTTTCCCTAATATAGTTTTTTGTAGTTATTTATGAGTTTTAACTAAAATAATATATGATAAAGCATTTTAAAAAGAAACTTGTTTCTTTTATTGTCACAACAGAACAAACGAACATATAAATAAAATAATAATTAGTCCCTACATTGCCTTATAGACGCTTTCATCAGACGCGTTGCCATGGTGATGAGCTGGCCCAAAGTTAACTTCCGTTCTGTTCGTTTAGTGTTTACTGGATAATATGGCGTTTACTGGATAATATGGCATTCACTACAAATGCAGTGAAAGTTAAGGTGATGAGCAGGTTGTTGAGCTGTGGGGTGCAACCTGACCTAGTAGGGAGCAAACGCAATTTTTAAAAACAAAAATGTCAAGGTTTCCTATGAGGGAGACGGTGGTATTAAAATAGCCTATGTTTATCAAAGTGATAACCGGTACAGTGTTTCCCATACATTTATTAGTGGCAGCCCACCACATTATCAGCGCTGACCGCCACATATTGATTTCCGTGTTTTAACAATTTAAGATGGGAAAAGTTGTAATGGACTGCAGTTGCGTGCAGCGCATATTCGCACGCTCTCTCTCTCTCTCGCAAACAGATTGACAGCGGACCAGTCGGTGTATTGAATGGTTAGTATCGTAAACAGCGCTGCACAGATCCATCCAACATGTGGTCAATGTGGAGACCCACCTTAAAAAAGGTTAGCAAGCATGTAAGAAGCCTAGCTCTATGTTATTAACCTTAAACCCCGCCGTCTCGCTCGCCAGTTTTTTTGAACACTGCGGTAAATCAGACACGTCGGTAGAAAAACATCTTGTCTCCAATTTTTGTTCAACGGGTCTGGTAGTGTCACATTTCAGTTTGGCCAGGTAACATTTATTTTCTTTGACTGGCAAGAAATACCAGTTACTAGGTTATTTACTTGTTATGGATTGTCTCCGCAAGTCTGCCGGAAGTTAAGTTTGGGCCAGATTAATGCACATGCGCAGTACCGTTTGTTTATGTTGTCACTGCTGAAAGCGTCTATAAGCTACCTTATAATTACAATATCAGCTTGCTTATCCCTTTACCTGCACTTTTTAAATTCTTTCCATCAAGCTTCATCAAACCATTTTCAATCATCAGTTGCTGCCTGCCGTTAAAACCTACTATTTAGCGATTTTAATCTAAATCCATTACAGACCGATAGTCTGCAACGCACACTTGGCGTCATTGGATTTCACACACGTGTAAATGCACAAGATAGATTTGATACTTTTTCTCTAGGTCTAAATGTTCACTCCTCGCAAGTCTGATTACATTTTACAATGCAGGGATGGTAACTAGAGATATGCCAGTTATAAATATAGTAATCATTATTACTATCATAATCAGTATTAGCTAGCTTTGTGGTTAGCTAGTCTATGATGAGCCATAATTAAGCAATAGATAACTTCATACTGCAAATTGTAAAACATACAACATTTTTAATATAACAGGCCAAGGAGAGATGATTGAAGCGTGTTTTGTCCGTTTTTATTTTTATTTAAATACCGATATTTTGGAAAATGCCTAATATCGGCCGATAATATCGGTCTGGCTCTATCTGAGACAGCTACTGTTCAGGATCTAGCCTGTAGATCCCTGTATGGAAATGAATTTGCACAGCACACAATGTTAAAAAAACCCAAAACATGTCTTTGTGGAAAAAGGCCAAAAGAAGCTGCAAAGTGGACAAGACTTTATGCCAATAATCAAACAGGTGTGTCTGTTAGAGATTACTCCATACCTGACATTCTGTGTGGGGTTCCACCTCTCTGAGGGAAGCTCTCCGCTCTGTGGATCATCTACTGGAGGATGCAGAATGGAGATACACACGTCCCCGTTCTGTGAAAGCACACGCAGAGATTCAAATCAATCACACAATCATAATGCTTTCACGAAGCAAAACCAGCATCTCAGTCAGTGAATCCCTCGCCTCCACACCACTGCTGTTTCTGTGAGTACTCAGTCACAGCGAGGCGTGTGAAAGGGAGATAAGGAGAAAAAGCCAGTCAAAACTGAAGGACGATCTCTGCAGAACTCTGAAAAGCCTTGTGCATGCACTGAATATCCAATACAAGGAAATATACTGGTGCATTGGGTAGGTGGTACAGTAATGTGTCACAATATAGTTAGCCTATACTTCCTGAAAACTCCATCAAATTTTTTATATAAATAGGCCTACATTACTATGCATTAATGCAGTTTTTAATAATTATCCAACAACCCAGTCAAAAAATTTTTTTCTAAAGGCCCTTGCACACTGAGTCTGAAATTTTTGAATGTGTTTTTTCATATTTGTGATTTGCTGACTCTGAATTGTCAAAACACCATTCAAACTGCTTGCTACGGATGCGACAAACACAGAAAATAGTACCTCTTACGATTTTTTTCGTAACGAATGAAAGTTTCGGGGGTAGTGTGACCTCACGTCATTGACATAACGCGAGGTCATATTTATTTTTTAACATGCGAAAATTTCAGGCGCGAATTTCAGACTGTGCGAGGGCCTTAAAAAAAACCTTATTGTTAACAAATCAAATAACAATGTCGCTAAATAACAAGGGTTTCTAAATTCTACATAAAGCCCCATTTATAGACACACCACATACATTACCTGCGATATACATTTTCAAAAATTATTGAAACTTTTGAGAGGCAACATTTTTTTTTACATTTTTCACACAAACTACAAATCTACCAGGTAGTTATCTTTTGGTATGAGAAACATGTAACATATAACAGTATCACTTACTTACAGACTTGCACCGATCACAGCATTAATTAAATATGATGCAAGATTGATGCAGAAGGGTTAGGAAATATTGACAGATCTGTGAAGTGGTTTTTGCCATTGTTATTGCTTATAATTTCCAACCTACACAACATGACTTAATATTTTCCAGGTCACAAACAGGTCTGAACTGCAGATCAGTGAACCACACCTGCTGATGAGAGTTACAGTTCTTCCTCATTTTTAAGATGTCAAATAATCTGCTTACCTTATTTTGCCATTTAACACATTGCAGCCATTTATATTCAATCTGTATCAAGATTTCAAATAATGTGTTACTTATCATATCTGTTCCTAACTGTTCATTGGCAATAGGCAAGATACAAAGGTCCATGTTTGCCAGGTGGATTAATCCAGGGCTTAACTGAAGGAAATGAAGCACAACAGACAAGCCACGTGCCACAGTACGAGGTCTGAAACAATCCTCTTACCTCATAGATGTTGGGGTGCCACATCTTGGTGAGGAATCTGAACGTGGGTGGGGAGTAGGGGTAATCGATCGGGAACTTAATGCGAGCCTGAAAAACAAGACAAAAACAAATGTCAGCACAAATTTTGTCCTATGCATATTTTCTTGTTTCAACGACAGAAAAACATCAGTAAAAAAAGCTTGTAAACAACATCCCATGTGGCCTTACATTTACCTCCGGCAAGTCAGCTTATTAGTCAACTAGAGAAATAAACTCTGTCATGCATACATCTAGCATGTATTCTGTTCTAGGTTTGTAGTGTAACAGTTTTATAGCTATGAGTAGTCTATTGCCATTTATTTTCTTCAATTGTACTGTAATGTGCTAGAATTAGTCTGGCATATGGGTTAATTTGACCCAGCATTTGGGTACACTATATAACAAATATGTAGTTGAATCAACCCAGAATTGTAATTAATTTGACCCAGCATTTGGGTATGCTATATAACAAATTTGTAGTTAAATCAACCCAGAATTTTGTTTAATTTGACCCAGCATTTGAGTAGAAATGAACAACTCATCTGTTGGGTTAAAAATGACCGACCCATCTTGCTGGGTCAAATTAACTACTGTTGGGCTGGTTCAATATTGATCCAGCGGTTGGGTTATAAAACAAACCAAGTTGGGTTATTTTTAACCTATCATTTTTAGAGTGTAGCCTAAATATTTATTATATTTTACTTAAACTGTTAGTTAAGGTGTGTTTAAAATATCTCATGAAAATGACAGCCAGTGTGTAAATGGTTATATTTAAAAAACGAAATTGGAGTAAAAACATATTTACATAATTAAATTTAGTTAATACAAAACCTGCCTTATGCGCAGTTTACATGTTTGCATACAATTAGTTATTTAAGTGTTGATTATTATATCTAAAAATAAATAGAAACTGAATTTAGGCTAACAGTTAGGTCTCTCTTGTTAACCTTTAATATTATAGTAGGTTAAGGAAGGGCTCCCTATATAGTTTATAGAATTAGCAGATGCATTTTTTTTTTCGCTTAAGAAACTTTTAATTACAACTGAATTTATTTAAAAGACAGACACAATTTGTCCAGTAAACCACCGTTTAATAAAAAAAAAAGCTATTTTATGTTTAGTTCCGTTTCAGTACGCACTGAACCTAATTGATTCTAATAACCTGTTTTCACACTTGTTTCAATTGTTTGGTCTGCACTCGGAATCGGATCCAAAGTTCAATTCCAACCCCAGTAACCCACTGGTCTCTTTCACATTTGTCTGCAACGGATGCGTCACACAAGAGACGTGAAAAATGCAAGCTAGAATTTATTCAGAGACAAGCAACCCATGCATGACCACACAAACTTTGAGACCACAAATATGACTATCCCCTCGTGAGGGACCCTCCGCCTAAAATATGAATCAGCATGCAACTATGTTGGAAAAAAAAGAAAGAATATTATTTGGAAAATGTATGTTTCTTTTAAGTTGCTTTCAACCTTTCATTATTGAAATGTTTTTAGGTATAAATCTGACAACATGGCATCATGACTTTTGCGTAAACATACACGCCACTTTCAAGTCAAGTGGCGTTTTATCTATGTGCATTTTGAGCTATCCACGTATGTCCACGCCAAAACGAACCTCCATCTTTTGCGTGTATGTACACGCCGTTAAATGTCCGAGCGAAATGTAGATCTACATCTGGGGAGCGATATTTTTTCCCCCCAAGGATGGTAGGGAAAGACTCAATGGTATTAACCCCAGTGACAGGTCGGTTTAGGAAAGGGATTGGGGTAGGTCATATATTTATACAGTAATATAACGTCAACAGCGTTCATAAACACGCTGAAAAGCGATTATGCGTGTCGATAGCATGCCAAAAATGGAAATATGAATTGGCATGTCATACACAAGCCATTTCATGAGCACAGACTGAATCTGAAGGGAAAAAACTATAGCAGTCAACAGAATAAAAGGACTGATTAATCTCATGATATCTCGCCAGCAGAGTAAAACAATGAATCATTTATATATTATTTTAGATTATTATGCATGTATGTACTATAATAACCTTATCAACAAAACTCTTAGCACTCCCTTCCAGCTGTATTTCCCAACTACAACCTGTACTGGAAAACAGCTTTCACAACAACCGAACTCTGACATTAAATGGACTTGGGTCCCCACCAAAAGCTGTAAAGTGAAAGCTAGTACCCTCAGCTATATTTAATAACACAGATATCTTTTTAAACAAAACGTTTTCCCCAACTAAGGAAAAAACTCATTCCGGTCCCGCTGGCCAACGCAGCCAAACACTAAGTTGAAAATGATCAACATCACAGAGCCGTCAGCTGGTACAGAGAGATTTCTAATACAGCAGCTTTGGAGGATTCTGTCTAAGGGTGAGCCCGGGACAGCTGCTCTTAATAGGATTGGAGAAGCATAACATTGCAGGAGAACAGTGCAGATGGACAAGAGGGAAATCTGAGAGAAAACACACAAATGGACAGAGAGCTGGATAACCAGGATGTGGGGCAAATCATTTTTTGGCACGAAAACAACTAGGTTAAACATCCGTTACGCAAGAGATATGCCCTCTATCTCAATACAGACTACAGACCTAATTATTTTTTAAGTCTTGTGGCAATACTTCTCTTGAAACATTTAAGGCTGATTACTACTGGAAGTGGGCATACTGGCATTTGCATTGTATTAAAGGAATAGTTCAACCAGGATATGGTCTCTCTAAGTAATGCCAAACTTGCATGACTTTCTTTCGTTGAACACAAAAGGAGAAGTCTAAACCTGAATATTCACTATGTTCTTACTCATACAATAAAAAGCAAATGGGGAAGGATTGGGGTTGAGACACCCCACCCCACAAACAGACAATAACACCATAACAACCATAATTTTAAGATCTAAGTGGCTTTAAAAAGTCACAGACGCTAAGTGATACATTTTGTTGAATTCCTCACACTTTATTCACTATAATTGCTTGTCTCTACCATAGCTTTTATTAAAAAACGGCAAGTGAAGAAGACACATCATGTCAAGTTTGACACCAATGATGCTAAATTGATTATAATATGCATAACCGAGAATGACAGATTTACAGTGAAAAACTACTTCAATTTCATTCCTCTCAAAAAGGAGAGGAATTTTTTTTTTGTCGTTGTTGTTTTAATACAGCACATATCCTCCTAAAGATAAAAGATTTGGGGTTGGAAAGATTTTTTTTAAGTTTTTGAAAGAAGTCTCTTATGCTCAACAGGGCTGCATCATAAAAACTGTAACATTGTCAAATAGTATTTTACCATTTAAAATGGTGGTTTTCTATTTGAAAATATTTTAAAATGTAATTTATTACTGTGGTGCGAAGCTAAATTTTCAGCATCATTAATCCAGTCTTCAGTGTGGCATCATTCTAATATACTGCTCATGAAACACTTATTATTATGACCAATGTTGAAAACATTTATGCGGCTTAATATTTTTGAGGAAACAGATTAATTTCAAGATTCGATGAGCAGGAAGTTCAAATGTATTGTAGCCCTCAAACCGTATTCACTTTATAGCCCTTAATCCTGTAATTGTGGACAAATGTGGACACAGAGGACACAGGTGTGATTGTATTTATTATAAATGTTATATCACTATGTCTTCGATAAAGTTGTGTTTTGTCTATCCATTTAAGGTGTTTTTTTTTATTTTGGGGGTATTTTTGAATTTATTAACTTCAAAAAGTACCATATTTTCTATGTAAATTATGCTTATTTTTATGTTGTTGTTTTTTTAGTTTTTTTTAACTACATTAAAATATCAGTCCAATAAGTTCTTAGAGCTAAAACCTAAAGTTGAAGTGACTTTGTTGTTACCTGGTGTCTTATTTTGGAATGCTCTAAATTACAGTTTTTCCCATTCATTTCTATGGGTGCCCATTTTTGACCCAAATACAAGATTAAGGAGGTTTTTTTTCACTCACTAAACATTGTAGTCAAAAAAAAAAAAAAAATGAGTCAAAAAATTGTGTGTTCAGGAGGCAAACTTAGGAAAAGTAGCCAAGTCTTGTACCACTCAGATCAAGGGAAGTATTTTTTTTTAAATAAATCAAAACTATTTTGCCCACATTTGTGGTTTTAAGGTTAAATAGAAATCTTTTGTAACAATTAAAGTCTTTTCTGTAACTTTTGATCAAACTAATGCATCACAAAAGTATTTGTCTAAGTCATATGGATGGATGACTTTAGTCACAAAACTTGTTGCTTTTTGGTAGTTCAACAGCATTCACCAGCACTTCCCCTTTTCCCTTCCAAAGAAGAACGTCAGCTGTACTGATTGCAACAACATGAGGGTGAATAAATGACATAATATTCATTTCTGGGTGCACTGACCTATCAACAAAAGCATGTAATGCAACTATTCCAGAGAAGTTAGGCACAACTGGTTTCTGACTATCAGATCTTGACAACATGCCAGCATAATACACAAGAGAGCTTTTAACATTGATGACAAACGGTGCAAAATTCCCCCTTACAAACAAAGAGAAGCAAGCCTCTGTCATGCAAATACACCCTGATTTATCCTCAAGCAGGAGCAGTTACTGGTTTGAGTACCATGCCAGACTTGTGAGTTCAGTTTCAACACAAGCTCATTTCCTGACACACCAGTGAACAGTGACGCCGCTGTATCTGCCAAACACACTGTATGCGTGTGTGAGTGAGTGAGTGCTTTGGCTGTAAACAAAGACACGAAAAGTCATTGACCTACTTCAAATCGAACACAACAGTCCAGGCCCTTCCTTTACAATCCAGAGAGGAACTAACATGAAGCTGAATAATTAAGCTTCTGACATTATTCAGGTCATTAATTATAAAACATTCAGACTGGTGTGAATGAACAGGTTTATCTGCTCTGGTGGAATGAGGTGGGACATAATGATCCTTTGCTGTCATTACTCTATTTTAATAATTATCATAATTAGAATAACTTGTGGTGCCACAAAGAACACAACAAAATACAGGTCAAACGTGATGGCAACAAGTAATACTAAATAAGTGTGGCCCTAATACGTGTTTGGAAGGTCACGAATATGACAGATTTAGAGTTTGACGAATCATTTTTGATAGACGCTTGCATTCAGCAGAACACTTTGTCATAATAAATGATTTTAATAAAAGCTGGTAAATAAATCATTTGAGTCAGTAATGAGCTTACAGCAAACTTAAAGTACATTAATATAGGAATGACAAAGAAGATTTAATTGTAATATTGTTTGTTCAAAGTCATGTAAATCATCTCACCCTCCATCTATCAGAATGACAATGAGTCAATGAGGAACAAAGAAACCAAACAAATGAGCCCCATTATCCTGAACAAAGACCCCAGAATCTCATCAAACCGACATCTGATGGAAATCACAAGACATAAGATCGTAACATAAGGCTTCAAATCAATCAACCTTCTAAATTATATCTTAATATGCCTAAAGAAAACAGACATGGGGACACATAAAGAGATGCAGTTATCCAGAGCTGGTTCCAGATCTAAATATAGACCACAGCCATCTGTTCCTAAAAATAACGCTTATTTACCCCCTTAAACCCAACCTGAGGCTTACCTTGAAATAGCCCCCTTCATAATGAGTGTTTGGGGGTCCAAAAATCGCCACTTCCCAGTTGTAGAGATCCGCTTCATCCACTAAAGTGATCTTGAAACCCTCCACTGGTTCCTCCTGTAGAGACTTCATTTCCAGCATTAAAGCTTTCTGTGAGCTGGCGACCTGAGAACTGCTCTGACGGGCCATTTCTGCTTTATTTCTACACAAAAGGAATCAAAAAGGGCGAAAAGTTGACAATATGTGATGAGGCGATGAAAGCTGCTTTTCTTTCTTTGTCTGGAGTTGCTAGCTTAGCGAGGAAATGACAATGTCCTCAAAAAAGAGAGTATTTTCGATCAAATAAAATGTGTTGTAAGCTATAAAGCATTATAAGTGCGTTTTTTCGTCGTCCATGAAAGTAAAAAAGGTTGTTTGGTTGTTTATATGTGGAGTTTTGTCTGTAACAAAATAACAAATCGCGCTCCGGGTTTGTTGTTTTTTGATTCGTAGCTGAAGGCTAGCAGTGAAAATCCACTTCGACTCAATACTAATCTTCTCTAATGGGAGGTTTCCGTTCAATATAAGTAAATTGAGATGGTCAAAAAGAAAGTCTGCGCTTGAATTCCGTGGGAAGCTGGTCCGTCGAGAAGCAAAAATCGCCGTGAACTAGTAATGTGTAGGAGAGTGGCGAGTTATGAGTCGATGTCCTGGATGCGTCTTTCCTCAATTCCAATGGGGTCGCGGTGCATTGTGGGTGCTGTAGTTCTGTCGGCTCACATTACACTGTCAAGTCAACAGACCTACATTCGCAGACAACATTCCAGTTATTTGACTAATACTAACTCTAATAATTAGATAACTACATAATTAGCCAACAACTGAATTACTTATGTGTTATTTACATTTATTTTAATGTAGGGGGAGTGGGGCTAATTCTTAATCTGGGCCACAAAGGCTTCTTTATCCTTCTGTGATTGCCCAACTAAGTTAAACGTATTGAACAAGTAGGCCTACACAATGCGCTCAAATAAACCAAACAAATAATCCTCCATATCATCGATTTACCCTAAACAAAGGCACGCAAATCTTGTCAAATCAACGTCTGATTTGAAAACAAGTCTTGACATGATTAAATCAGTCATAGAACTGAATTATATCAAAATCTGATGCTGTGTGTGTCATCAACTCTCTAATTATACTGTAGATACATATAATAAAAAAGACGTGGTAACTTAAGTTTATATTATGCATTTATACGTTACATTATAGGCCTACTATGTATCTTTGTGTACAAAATCTCTTTGATTAAATCACGTGGCAATGTTATGGATAAAATATTCAATAGTCAAAACATCCTAAACCTAAAGAATAAGTGTGAAAATATAAAGAAATTGATTGGATAAAATAAAAAAAATATAAAAAACTTTTATTAGTTTGTATATAAAATATATTTGTAGGCTATTGGAACCAGATAGCCTAAAAAATAATACATTTACAAAACAAAATTTATAAATGCACAGCACAAAATCCAAAAAGGTTTCGTAAATTCAAAACACAATTCACAAATGCACAATTCAATGTAAATCAATCAAAACGCTCCTTACCGAACACTGTCAGTTCAGTTTTGTTTGCGTATTAAAATGCTCCTATTTTGGTTTCAGTGAACAGTGAATGTTCAGAAATATATAACCCAGTTTACTGATTGTCTCTCCTATTCTGATTATATCTGTCTGTTTATTATTAATCTTTTTTTATGTGATCAGTCAATGAGTTAAAGAGATTGTCCAGAGGTATAGCTTAGGCTAAGGGAGTAACAATAAAGGTCACTGAAGATAAGCTATATGTCTGTAGCCACATACAGGCATGATAAAGTTAATTTATGACAATTTGGGAAATAATAACAAATATAGCTGCGAGCAGCGATGGCGGGCCCAAGCCGGAGGCACCGCAACCCCGGTTCCTTTAGTTACCTAAAGGCACCCGGGTGGCGGTGCCGAAGGCTTTGGCCCTTTCATGATTAAATGTTAAGGCGGCTTGCCATACTCTGTCATTTCGACTAGTCACAATTATGTTACAGATATCTTAAATGATAATACAAACTATCCAAAGTGTAACGACTAGACAGAAAGACGTTGTTGATATCTACAATGTTAATTCCGGACAGGCAAACTTAGCTTTTAAATGTTAAAAGGGCTTGCCATACAGGGACGTAGGCTCAGAGAGAGGCTCACCATATTCAGACCAAAATATCTGACTTCCTCTTGGTCCGAGCTAATGACTATGTATTAGAAAGTTGTACGGCTTGAGGAGTACAATGTAATATACCGATTTTTGTAACTGTAGATAAAACTAACAACCAATGTAGTAGCACTTCTCTTTTTTTGATTGGCTGATGCGTAGCAGGGTCGACTGCTGAACTCCAGGCGAGACGCGCTTGATTCTCACGTGAGAGCGGCGCGGCCAGAGAAATTGCGTATATTAAATATATTATTAATAGTTTTTCCGCATGAGAAATACAATGTGTGACGGGAGTGTGAGACAAAAGACTGAAACGAGTGACTGTCATGCTCAATGCGTGACACACTATAAAAAAATATTTCACACTGACTCCACATTTAGGGGGCCACAAGGGGGTCCAAGCTTGTTGTCGCAGGGGCACTGGCCCCCCCAGGCCCCCGCCTAGAACCGCCATTGCTCACACACACACACACACACACACACTTTCTCTCTCTCTCAAGAAGCAAAAACATGACTGCTAAAGGTTGTATCAGCGATGGCGGGGTAACATCACTTAACATCACGAGTGCTATTCCCTTAGGCCACGCCCCCTTGTCTCCCCAAAGTATTATAAGCAATCATGCGCATCCCGTGTGCAGAATGAAATGCACTTGAAGCAACACCAAGTCACAGCACGCAACGCTTCACATTGAAAAGAACATAGCGAAGGGATGGTATCTATAATCTATGCTTAGTAGGGCTGCACGATTTGGGAAAATGTCATATTTGAGCCAATATTGCAATTGCGATTTGCGACTCCGATATAATAAAATGGTTTCATGAGTCCAACTTGCTTGGTTCTAAAGTAAAATGCACACACAGATTAATGTTTATTTCTCAACTCAAACTAAAAACAACAACAACAATAAATGATTGATAACACCTATAATGATCAATAAACCATCAACCAAACCAACATTACAGTGATTCCATCAATTGAAAGCCATCAACTTTTTAAAAAATTATTACGCTTAAAAAAAATATATAACAGCTTTTAAATTAAGTGAACTTCAAACAATCCCACATAAACCCATAATAAAAAACATATTTACCTGTGCCCTTCCTGTCTTAACAGGTACAGAAATTGAATAAAGTTATCAAACAGTCTGCGCTGCCTGAATCATAAATTATATATATAATAATCCTTATTAAAGCTACAAAAGTTCTTTACTCAAGATCAGTGAGTAATTTTCTAATTTCCCTTTGTTCTTTTAACTTTACTGAAAGAACGCTTTATTCGCTGCTGGCCCTTTAAGAGCACCCGTTGCCGAGACGCGGATCTCACACGCGCCTCATAGCACAACTCTTTTCATCCATAGAATTTTCTTATGTTATGAAGATACTAGACAAAATCACATTTTGGCATAATTGTGTGTGCTATTGTTCGTTCAAGCTCGAAAGAGAACTGTTTATTCTGGGCTGGCACACGGTCAGTGCATGCGCATTATGCGAGTCTCATCTATTCTAATCTAGGGCACTCACAGGCAGCTTTTCACTTCTTGTCGTGCAAAATGCGAAAAGGCATTTGAACCAATAAGAGGGGGATCTTGTAACACTAGTCAAAGGATGACAAAAAAGAAGAGATGCTGCGCTAATAGCCCTACTTTGTTTATTTCATATAAAATCGCGGCATTTTGCGTTATATAATTGCATAGGTTTGAGATCGCTATTACGACTGCGATATAATTAATCGTGCAGCACTAATGCTTAGTGTATTCTAAAGGGCAATAAACTCCACTCCAGCAAGATAGTCATTTTATGCAAATCATAGACCTTTATGCCTTATCTACAAATAAAGTATAATATTGGGAACATTGATCTTGAAGAGAGTGTCGTCGTGTTACTGTCGCAACCGAACGCGACGCGCTAATGCTGATGCATGGAGAATGACTGAGGCGAGATGACTTTCCGTTAACTTTAACTTAGAGACTAAAATATTAATTTTACCACACATTAAGCTATTGAATGACTTTAGAAGTCTTGGAATATAGTGTGAAAACTTGATTGTGCTTTACAGTTTTTTATGCCTTTAGTGGGGCTTAACAAAATAACACAATATGCAGAATGTCGGACGTCACTTATAGGCTAAACTGTTTTTATAGATAAAACTATTTACATTCGGCAGTCATGAAAACAAATCTCAGATAACGGTTGACTAGGTAACAATGTGTAATTTTGCGCCGGAGTTCTCCTTTAACTTACATTAGCTAGCTAACTACGAACGAGCTAACCAGATAACATTAACAAATTGACAAGCACTTACTGGGCACAGTGGGCAGAATGGCTCTTCAAATGACGGACGAAATTGGAGGTTGTCATCTGACTGTCCGCGATCTTAACGTTGCATGTCTTGCAAAGCGCTGTTCTTTTGCCATCTTGTTGTAAGAAATTCTTGAATCCAAAAGCGACGACGACCCTCGTTATCCCTCCGGCTGACATGTTGATGTGATCTGATGTAAGTGGGCGTGGTGTGCGCGTAAGGTATGAGAGGGCATGACTGATGATCTCGTGATCCAGTCATGACAGCGCTATTCTCAGCCTGCGCTCCAGCTGGATCAACTTTATTTTTTTTACATAATTATATATTTTATATTCAAACTGAAAACATGATGTGATTAACACTCAAGTCATATTATTACATGCAAGTGTGTTTGATTTATGGACCAAATTTTCAGATCAAGTTTATGGACCAAGTTAATTTAATTAATAAACCTATAAAACTATTAATGCACTACAATTAAACTGGTTATATGCCTTTACTTATAAAAAATAAAAAAACTTATTAAAAAAAATACCAGGCTTAAGGCATTTATTTTTTATGCAGGCCATACACACAGGAGTGAAATGGTTAAGACCCCTCCCCCTACAAACACACACACATACACAGACAGGCAAAGACAGAGATGTAGGCTCAGATTAAGCAAGACCACATTCAAACAAACATATCTGACTTTCTGTGGGTCCTAGCTAATGAGTGTCAATTAGAAAGTTGTCCGGCTCGAGGAGTACAATATACATACCGATTTTTGTAACTGTAGATAAAACTAACAACCCTACTTTTGTCAAAAGGTGGCGCTACTGAGCCCTCACCACGCCCGTTTCTGAAACATTGCACGTGTCTACTGGCTAATAAATGTGATGTGTCTGTCGAGTTTCATGCATTTGAAGCATGCTAAGGGTCTCAAAAGCATCCTAAAAGCATCCTAAAAGAAGGGTAAAGTTTGATGCGTCGCCACGGCAACAGTTTCAAAAGATATCAAGAATCCATTCACAGGTCTACATCTGCCGTATGTTTACATTATACATATGAAGTTTGAAGCAAATCGGGTAAAAATAAAAGGGTGATATCAAAGCATTTTGAAAGTGACACACTTCCTGCTGCCAGTTGGTGGCGCTATAACTTTGACTCACAATAGTCACATCCATGTGATCGTCCTCTTACAGCGAACATAC